TTACTGCGCTGTATTTACGGTCGCACAGAGAGGGAGATTTATTAGAAAGCACGTAGTGTTGGGAGCGTTTCACACGCACCTGACCTCCGAGCTCGCCCCCCCCCCCCCCCCCCCTCACTCTCTCCACCTCATGGCCCTTCGTTGCCGCTGGGTGGGTGTACTCACTTCCTGTTCCTGTTTTTGGTCGCCTACAACACGGACGGACTCACTATAGATCGTTTTTGTTTGATGTGGATTTCAGGCCTGATGAGTCGGGTCAGATTGAGGCACCTCGCTGTCCCAAAAAAACAACTATACTTGTTTCTTTGCTTCCCTCCAAAGTAAGTTTGTAACAGATCATAAAAATGTTTAACTTCAAGAGACAAAACCTGCTCCACTTTTCTACAGTCGGACTATTTATTTTAAATAGTTCTGAGGCAGTTATCATGTTTCTTATTTATTATGAAAATAGCATGTATAGATGGTGTTTTTACGATATGCCTATATTTAAATAGTGTGCAAAGGTCTCTGTGGTCTCGACAGTGAACTTGACCTCACATTCTCACCTCTCTGACCACATTAGGACCTAAAGATGGAGGGCCAAACACAGCTACACCTCACATCAGCCTGTATCAGTCAAGTGAAGTCAAAGTGGAGCAGTTCTTAGTAAGCCACCTTAAGGTTATGTACAGACACCATATCAGACCTTTATTGACAATATCAACAGAGATAAGCTTGTCTGATATTTTCACAGTTTGCTCTGGAGCAACAAAGCTCCTCTCCGGCAGAGGGAAGGTTCATGAAATAATTACTAAATAATAACAATAGCTCACACAGCGACTTGAGAGAGAAAAAACCTCCCAGCTTGCCATTGTTTGCAGAGATTGTGTGTCGCTCTCCATCCTCCAAACATTCCTGCGTTCCTTTCTTGCGTCCTCTCAGCTCTTCCTCCTCCGCAGTGACAGTTCAGGGTTTTTGTTGACAGTATCAACAGAGATTAGCTCGTCTAATATTTCGGTTTAATCCAGTTTGACGTTACACGGTGTGATCTGCTGCAGAGGTAAAACATTTGGAAAGATAACCAAACTAGTTTTGCTTTTTTTTTTTTTTGCAGCATATTGTATTTCTACTTCCTTTTTAAAAAATGTTCCTATTGACATCAATTGGATCAATATGACAATGAAGAGGGAAACCACTTTAATATGTAATTATTTCTTTGTTTGCAGAATATTTACAAGTATATTTATTAATTTATAACAATGCCTAAGGTAAAAATGAAACTGAGATATCTGCAAACAAGCAATCTGTATGACTCAAACCCCAGCCATGCAGACAGAGATTATCTTTAACATGCAGAACAATAGAAACTTCCTCCTTTTAGCTTTCATTAATACATCTTTTAAAGTGTGGCCTATGTGAGTGTCAGGAGTTCGGCATGTAAAGAAAATACTTCCTTAAATGTAGAAATATTTAGATTTGTGTGTTATATTCTGTCTCAGACTGAATGGGAAGTAAACTGGAAATCATGTTTGCTCATTTTTTAATTCTTAGGATCATTAATCTGCTCGCTTTTGCAGAGTTTTTGACTAAAATGTTGATTAAACAAACGTAAAAAAGTGTGAAAAACTAGAAAAATAGATCCGAGACATGCCTACGATCATGCAATACTAATTTGATCTACAATTGTACGTATGTTAAGGGTGATTTTGGGGAAACAAAGGACACATTTGTATGTATTTTTTGGGAGTATTGTGATGGATTTTTCACAATAAAAGACTGGAGGTGAAGGAGTTCAACTCATTTTTTTTTTCTCCATATTTTTGATGAGAGAGATAAAGAAAGAAAAAGTCAAGTAAATCTATTTATTGGGTAAAAAAGAAAAAAAATGAAATGAAATAAAAATCATAAATTAATGCGTGTGCGTTTATGTGCGAGTGAACATCTGTGTGCACCCGGTAATAAATGCAGGACCGCCTCACTCTAATCAAGCTGATTAAAAATTCCTGCGCGCACAGCCGGAAATCGCACCACCGTTCTTGTCTGTTGTGTGTGTGTGTGTGTGTGTGTGTGTGTATGTGTGTGTGCGTGCGTGTGCGCGTGTGTTTTATGAGAGTGTGTGTGCATGTGTGTGTGTGTGCGCATGTGGTTTCTCTGCCTTGGAACACTTTCTCCACTTTATTTGTCTCCTGTCAGGACTTTTCCGGCCTGACACGCGGAGGAATCATGTAGTTCTTTATTTATAAAGAGGGGGATTATTTCTCCCCCCCATCTCCTCTCCTCTCACCCTACACTCTCTTCCATCTCTCTCACGCACACACTCGACCCCCTCCGATCATCTTTTTCTTTTTTTTTAATTCTTTTTTTTTTTTTTTAATTTTACCCCCCTCTTCTTCCACGCCATTTGAAATGAAGAGGAGAAAGGGAGAGCACGGGCAGGGGAAGCAGCAGCGGCAGCAGCAGCAGCAGCAGCAGCGAGGAGAGAGAGCAGAGGAGGAGGAGGAGAGGAGAGGAGGAGGAGGAGGAGGAGGAGGGGGGAGTGATGAGTCAATACAACTAATAATTTAATGGGGACAGAGAGGGAGAGACGGAGTGAGAGGGGGAGAGGCGGAGAGGGGAGATAGATAGAAAGGAAAAGAAAGAGGAGCTCCGTCCGGACGCCAATCCCCCAAACCAACAGGACACCTCCTACTATTACTATCGCAGGCAGCTCTCGTTAATGCATCCACAGCGAGCCTTATTTGATCCGCGACGTCGGAAAGTAAACGGCACTTTTTGACCCCCTCCTTCTGCTTGTTTTATTGCGCGAACCTGCTCCCCGACTGTCCGCATATCGTCTCCACATCGCCTCCAACAAAAACCGACGCGACAGCAAGCTCACGCTGTCGGTTACTATTATTATTATTATTTTGCAGTCCGTCTCTGCCGGTAGTCGGACGCTGGGCTGTTTTTTTTTTTTCTTTTTTTTCTGTGCATGCACGCTACGTCCCCTCCGCGAACACACACACACACACACACACACAACGGAGGGTCTCGGTGGCGATTATTATCATTGCAACTGTGGTCCGAGGTGCTTTGGTTTTGTACACCGGCGACGGCTGACTGTACCGCCTTGCCTTCCTGCCTGCCTGTCCGCCTCTCTGTTCGGATGTTGTGGTGCGAACTACAGCTGAAGTGGCGTTCACTTGCACGCTAAATGTCGCAGGTTCCCACGGCTACCGTCTTTTTCCTCCGGTTGGACGGAATTAGCTAACGGGCACACATACATAACACACACACACATACACACACATACACACACACACACACACACACACACACACACACACATAACCGCTTACCAATGTTCGCCTATCACGGTCCATCTCGACCTCGTCGTCTCTCCCACAGACCCGGGTTGTTGTTTTTTCGCACCGCCTGCCAGACCTCCGCGAAGACGAGCAGGAGGAAGCGTCTTTTTCAACACTGATTTATATTTAACAAAAAAAAAAAATTGCTGTCATGCATACGTAAACAGAGAGAGAGAGAGAGAAAGAGAGAGAGAGATAAGAAGAGAGGAACTGGGAAGCAAGAGTTGTTCTGTTTCCTTTTTTTTTTTTTTTTTTTTTTTTTTAACCCTGGCCAAACTTGAAGAAGACTCGTTTTCCAGCCGGTGTTATATGCTCTCCACTGCACAAGTGCTGCGTTTAAGGTTGGTTTGACTCTCAACTTATCCCCCCCCTCCCCTGTTGGGACCTTGATGTTGTCCATTTGAACTATTGCTCCTGTATCTTGTGTTTTAAGGGTCATTTAAAAATCCTGACCTGGATCCTGGGTCTGGATCCCTCGCTTCTTTTCCTCCCCTATTTGTGGGGAATTAGTTGCCTCATTGCATGTTATGAATGGGGGGGTTCATGATCTTTTGCGTGGGGGTGGATGATTTTGCCCCTTTTCACTCTTTTGACAATCAGCATTCCTATTCATGTTCATCAGCTCAACATGCATGCAGAGTCACCCGTGATAACTTTTCCTATTGCAGACTTATAAACCAGCACATTTTGTTTTTATGATTGATCATATTTCAAAGTTTACCCAGAGAGTTCAAATATCAGCCTACCTAAATAACCAACTTCAGACTGTCAGTCAGCGAGGCACCTGTGGTTAAGTCTGTGGTGGATGCTCCACCAGTCCTTCCTCTCTCTTCTTTTCCCTCCTAACTTTTTTTTTTCTTCTGGCTTTCTTCATGAGTCAGCAACTTGTCATGTGAAATTCTTTTACAACGCTGCCTTTTTTTTTTTTTTCCACCAACCCAAAGTTGTAAACCCTGCTGCTCGACATGTCTAAAAATAAAAGTTCATACCTGTAAATTCATGTTAGTGGCTGTGTGTGTGTGTGTGTGTGTGTGTCTGTCGCTCACAGAAAATTGACGTCCTCGCCTTTCTCCCGTCCTCCCCCTCTCCTCTCCTGAGCTGCGTCATGAAGCCGCACCAAAGTGACTCAGAAACCGAATTACGTTGGTTTCTCCTCTCTCTGCGTGCACCGCAGCAGCAGCAGAAGAACCTTGTTCCTTGAACTTCACTGTATTCATTCAAGTGGAATCTCCCAGCAAATGAATGTGTTTGCACTAAAAAAAAAAAAAAAAAACTGGAGCTTGTTTGCCCCTTCTCGCATGGGAACGTCTAGCGGGACACCCATACATAATGCATGCGTTTGAAAAATGGGAACATTACAGCGGCACGGAAACGTCACCGTGTTCTGCGTTGACATAACCGAAGCGAATTGACAGTTATTGCCGTAATGGGTTTTTGTTCTCAGAGGTTTCAATTACTTAAAAGCACTTTTTTTTTTCCGCTCTATTAAAAAAAAAAAACCTTTCACGTCTTCACATGTCAGTGATATCAACACAAAAGATGTTCCCCTCATATCGCCTTTCATTCCTCCTTTTTTCTGTTTTCAAGCTTCTTTTCTACCGCTCACATACCTCCTCTGACGGCTGAATCATCGTGTGTGTTTGTGTGTGTGTGTGTGTGTGTGTGTCTCCCCAGGTGATAGTGAGCAGAGGTGCTGAGAATGATGGAACATCTCAGCGAGGCGTGTTTGGGCAAGGAGAACTCCGAGCTGGTCAACAGCATGGCCGAGGCCAAGGCCCCTCCGGCCAAGCTGCCCCGGCTGGAGCAGAACGGCAGCCCCCTGGGCCGGGCCAGGCTGGGCAGCACCGGAGCCAAACTAGCCGGGGTCCCTTACAAGCCCACCGGGCACCTGCTGAAGACCTGCCACAAGAGAGGTAAAGGGGGAGTGTGTTTATGTGTGTGTGTGTTTGTGTGTGTGGTTTTATAGCTCACTCCATCAAGAGAAAATATATCAACACTACTATTTGATTTAATGTTTGTCTTTCTACAACCAGAAATCACAAACCCTGTTTCTGCATTTCAAATACGAAGGTTTGGAAATCTCTCCCCTTTTTTTTTTTTTTTTTTTGATTTTCCTGAGAAGAATAGAGGATGATTTGGTAGTTGACAGAAAATTGATTACCAACAAACAAGTCATTTTTCTAGACAAAAACACCAAACGTTCGCTTCTCCAATGTTCGGATCTGCTTGCTTCTCTTCGTCTCGTGTGACAGACAAACTGAATAGATTTAGTTTGAACTTTTCACTGGGACAAGATGAGCAGTTGCTCAACGCTCTGAGGACATTTATCGTGAACATCTTCTCACAATGTTTAATTTATTATTCTGGATTATTTGAATTCATTGAAGTGGCAACCCAAAATTCAGACATCTTTTATAGACTGCGTCAGGAATCGATGAAGAAATAATCAAAGCTGGAGCTCTAGTCTGCATGAAACTATGAAACTAGCCGAAACTAACTTTACACACGTTTGAGCACAAGTCATGAAAAAAAAAATAAACCATGTAAATAAAGGAAAGCTATTTAAAATGCAGTTTAAAAAGCCCCCCCCCCCCCGACCCCCCTACCCACACACTCAAAACACAGCACCTTCCACCCACCATCACCACCCTCTGCCTGCTCTCAAAAACTCTTAAACCTTTTTACAGTGCATCTTTAGTCATCTCTGCATAAACACACACACACACACACACACCGTGCACACACACTCCCACTTATTTGCACAGACAATAGCTAATAGCAGAGCAGTGAGAGTTGTTCTGCATGGCGCCGTGTCACCGCTCCCCTCTCCAGCCGCAGCCCTCCTGCGCCGACGTTTCTTTATTAAGAGGAAGTTTCTGTCCTTTAAGAGCCATTTCTGTTTCAAAGCAGAGCCTTTACTTTCAGATTATGACTTAGCTTTTTAATATAACTGGTGTCATCTGGTGATAAACACGGCAGGCAAAGCTATCCAAAACATGTATTTTTTTACGAGTTTTTCTTTTTCTTTAAGTGGTTCAGAAATGAAAACTGCAGGTTTGGACTTGTAATAGTGCTTGGCAGCGAAGGTTGGTCTGTTTGTTTGTTTGTTTGGCTGGTTTTGGTCTTCTTCGGGGCAACAGGGACTCAGGAACTCTTGGAATGTGGCTGTGTGAGTGTCCTCAGATGGGCCGTTTCTTATTTATTCTTTATTTGCTCCTTTTATCTCTGTGTCGGCGCTCCAGCTGAGAGAACCTAATTTTTCACCTCCATCATCTCTGCTTCCCCTCGGCCTCCTGCGACGTTTGTTCCTCTCTTGGCCTCCTCCCCTTGGTTTCATTCTTTAAGCTTCTTCCCGGGCAAAGCGTGAAGCAGCAGCAGCAGCAGCAGCAGCAGAGGAGAGGCTTTCGCTGAGAGGGCCCACAGTGGGCATTGTGTCCGAGCCCGTAACAATATTTACCACAGCCCTCTCTGGGCGCCCTGGAAACAAAGCCAGTATTGATCCCCCAAATGAACCTACACAGCAGTCTTTATTGTTAGATCTTTATCTATTAAAATCAGGGCAGGAGAAAAGCAGCTCTTTCAGCACATTCCCTGGCATCTGTCGGCTTATTGATTGTTTTGCCAGAGCTTTGTGCATCTTCTGGAATGCCTGGGATTGAAAAAAAAAAAAAATAAGAATGAGAATCGTGTTAATCGGCAAAAACAATAAATGTAGAGGAATTTGTTCAGGTGACAGACGAGTGGAGACAAAGTGAGAAAAGTACGGCAACAGGGCGGCTCATAGAAACTGTAAAGTGTGCAAACAAAAACCTTCCTCTTCAACAGGTTTTTGTGGAGTTTCTTTTTTTTTTGGAAAGCAGAGATTTGGTTGGCTAGCTGAGGGGAGGCTAATGTGATCCCAGAAAACTTGAAAAAGAACAAAAACTTTACGTATGACTTTGGAGGATTTGTGTGGCTTCCTCTTGATTCTTAACACAGAGCAAAAGGTTGATACACTTTTATAATACTATATTTGATTTTTAAGCAACACTTTAATAACAGTCTGCTATCCTGTTAAAGACCTCAAAGAGGAATCAACATTTTGATAAAGTTGGATTTCCAATGGTTGAACCATTGAGAACATCATGGAAAGTACATGACAAAAAAAAACAGCATTTATAATAAAATAAAAACTTGCTAGCAAGCACACTATGAAACTGTGCTGCAGATGCAGAGTGTCTGATTCCCCATGATGATGTGACAGTTTGGCACCGAGACAAAGAAGTGATGGTTCAGATAGATAACGGCCCTGTTAAAGATGAAAAATGCCTTTATGTGGTCAAAATGCAGAACTTAAGTTCCCCCCACAACTTCCACTCAGCAGCAATCTAATCACTCACTCATAATCCCTCGACACTCAACCTCAGTGTAACCTAATCATCGGCGCTAAATATTAATCTCTTCCCGCAGCAAACACAGAATACTTGAAGGTCAAAGTTTGCATGTGAGGGAAACGTGAACCCCATCCAGTTCTCACTCTGTGCCTCTGTGTCCTCAGGCAACATGCTGCCGGTGTTCTGCGTGGTCGAGCACTACGAGAACCCCATGGATTTTGACAGCAAGGAGGAGCACGCCGAGTTCGTCCTGGTGCGCAAGGACATGCTCTTCAACCAGCTCATCGAGATGGCCCTGCTGTCGCTAGGCTACTCCCACAGCTCGGCCGCCCAGGCCAAAGGTAAACCGCCGATGTCACCCATCGACTCCCATCATCATCTATTTCATCTCTGCCCTCTTGTTTTATCTCTCTAATGCTCATTAATGTCTTCTGTGCAGCGTTTTCTGACAAGCTGCACACATTCAGACATACGCTCTTTATGCCACACACACACACACACACACACACACACACACACACACACACACACACACACACACACTTTTTTACCATAATAGCCGACCGCCAGCAGATCTGAAGCCACAGTAACACATCCTGACACTGATCCCAGACAGGAGATGCTCAAGTCTCCCAGAGGTCACACACACACACACACACACACACACACACACACACACACACACACACACAGAGGCTTAATGTACAGACTTATACACAAAATATTTATACGCACATACTCATACTGTGCATTTAAGCACACACACACACACACACACACACACACACACACACACACACACACACACACTCTCTCATAATGTATATATTTATACACACTTAGCCTCAGTGACTCAGTGGGTGGGAGGGGCAGGTGGAGGAAAGAGTCTACTAATTGCACTTGAGCGCACGCAGGCCGAGGGTGGCTGTTTCAAGGTGCCTCTTAGTGTGCTCTTTTATTATAGCCTGTCCATCAGGCACACACACACACACACACACACACACACACACACACACACACACACACATATATCCTAGTCCTCCTCTCCTATAAGCTGACTTCCTGCTGTGTGGGCTGCATCTTTTTTAAATCAGTCTCAGGAGAAATTTCCGCTCGGTTGTTGGGATTTTAGTAAGAAAGAAAGAAAGTATGTGAAGGGTGTTTATGGCCCCAGAATGTGTCTGGGGAGGCTACGTGTGGCTTTATTCATGATGTTCATTCATGTGTTATTGGTTTTAAGCGAACCCTTTTCTGTGTTAGGGGCTAAGAAAGTAAACATACACTTGAGGATGTCGGTGTTGGCAACCGTGATGGACACAAATTCAGATCCTACTTTTACTTTTAGTTTAATTAGGGTTGTAAAGATGAATCGTAAAAAATCGTGATAAATCAATTCAAAGGTGTCAAGGTTCACATCGGTACTCTGAAAAATGAATCGCAGGAATGTGGTGAGCGTCATCAGCTGCAGAGCAAGATTTAGAAATTGAGGATGCACCACCGTCTTTTAAATCGGACATGTGGAAGCATTTTGGCTTCCCCAAGACAGAAAATGAAAGAGGTGAGAAGATAACAGACGAAAACTGCAAATATTGCAAGAAGACAGAGAACTACATAAATAGCACAACCAACATGATGCAGCATGAATACATTTAATCCACACCACGATGAGAAGCTTGAATCACCTCCCTTGTTGAAAAACATTAAAAAGGCCAAACCACACTGACGCGCGGTCTTCCAGCCACTAAAGGATGTCATGAATCGGCATAAGTTGAGTGAATGGTTACATCCCTACTTTTAAACTAAGACAGTAAAATGAAATTTTGAATTTCTTTTCCCACGTTTGGTCACTTGCTCATACATGACAACATTCCCGATTGCTTGTCCATGTTGACCAATGCTCTCCATGTTGCGTTGTCCAGGCATGATTCAGGTGGGGAAGTGGAACCCCGTCCCGCTGTCCTATGTGACAGACGCACCGGACGCTACAGTGGCTGACATGCTGCAGGACGTCTACCACGTGGTCACGCTCAAGATCCAGCTGCACAGGTGAGGAGCACGCCGACACAGACACAGACACACACACACAGAAAACACAGACACACGCCTTGATTTCCTCTAAAATAGCCAACACCGCCCACCAAAATTCAGGAGTACAACCCTAAAACACAAACTGGTGCTGAAGGACGTCCATACATAAAGAGGCAGGTTCACTTACAGGAGTCTAGCTCCAGACGCTCACACACTCAGCACGTATTGTATGCCCAGAGGCTGGTGCCAATCTGCAGATGCCTTCTGCATGTTTGATACTGAGAATAACATTAATCACACACACACACACACACACACACACACACACACACACACACACACACACACACACAGACACAGACTGACCTTCAGATGAAATGGGAAAATCCCATCCAAACACAGAAAACTTCACTGTCTGATTATTCCACAGAGATTGGTTTATTTGTCAATTTAAGATAGCTGAATCAGTAATGCCTTCAGTTAGCCGACACTGTGCTGACTGATCACACAGGTTTGTTTTGTGAAGCTGCTCCGCCTTTAATTGGAGGCTGATTTAATCTCATGTAAAAGATTAGTATTGATATTGAGATAACTCCAATGCTATATGACTATAAAGCAACCAACTTGAGTTTCCTTTATTAAAAAAAAAACAAAAAAAAAAACTAGAGACTGCTCGCGGCTAAAAAAGACTCTGCAGCAGATGAATGCAAGGTTGTTCACCTGAAATAGTTCCATAAATAAACCTGGCTATTTTTAAGTCGCGATACATTTCTTCTGAATCTACATCACATGTAATAAAACGAGACCTTCTTCTACTGAGTGATGCTAGCTGTCCTGTGCCATCACTCACCATATTGTACGCTAAATGCTCCGCTCTGTAGGTGTGAGGCTTCGTTGTATTTATACATACAAGCATTTATAGACATGGACGCCAACAGGCTCATATGTGCTCATAGCCACACACACACACACACACACACACACACTCACACAGTCGAGTGGAGCTGGTGTGGAGGCTTGTGACAGCTGCTGCTCCCACTCTTCCTCTCCCTCTCCTCTCCTTCTGTGCCCCCCCACCACCACCACCACCGCCACCCACCTTCACCAGCCAGAATACAGAAGGTTGTGTTTATTTCCGGCATGCTAGCCCCGTAATGCACAGATAGCTTTCTCTTTCTCCGCTACCCCCTTCCCTTCCCCGTCTCTCCCTCCTTCCCTTCCTCGTGTTCACTTCCGTCTCCCCAGAGGCTTTTCTAGCTGCTGGAGCAGTTTAAGGTGTTCTGGAAAATCCATTGTTTGCATGTGAGTGTGTTTTCCTACAAGCAGATGTTAGCCTCGACCGCTGCACGCATCCCTTTTTTCCTATTCCTCTCTCCCGTTATCTCACCGCTTGTATCATTTCCAAACACACAGACTGACAGTTTTATGCACACACACACACACACACTCACATTGTCTTGTGCACTTGTACACTTATCATCCCTAATTCTGTCTCTCATCTCCCGTCACTTGTCAAGCATCAAGGCAGGTTTAAGAGAAAGTAATTCAGAGATTCATACAAAGCGTCAAACACAAGTCTAACACACATGAAGTGTTCACCCAGAGCCAATTGGGCACTGTGACTCTGCTGCTCAGCTTTAGTTACTCCACACTCCCACCCACCACGGAGATGAATTTCACATTTTCAGAACCCAGAAATGTTCCTCATGTGGAGCTCAATCCCTGGCGGCCCACACCTCCTAAACCAGCTAACGCCTAAGCCAATTTATTTGATTTATAAATCGATTTGGATTTTGCTGCATATTGTTGTCAGTATTGTTATTGTTTTGTATTTGTTTTTTCCTTCTTTTTTCTCTTCCCACCCCTCCATCCCTTCATCCACAACCCCCCCCCCCCTCACCCCCACCCTCCGCCCCGGCTGCTGCAGAAATCTAGCCAGTAACACCTTAAATTGTTTCGCCGAGCACAACGAGCCAGGAAGGTAGAAGTAACATGAAATAATAGTCGCCACATGCAGCTGATGTATAATTCATGCATCAATCCAGCAGATGTGTTGTATAAAGTAATTAACTAATCAGAACAATCAGGAGAGAGAGAGGGAGAGAGAGAGAGAGAAAGAGAGAGGGAGAATATGAAAGAGAGAGAGAGAGAGAGAGAGAGAGAGAGAGAGAGAGAGACAGAGCAATCTCCAGATGCATCTGCTTGATGCGCCAAATGAAATCTGTCTGTCTTGGAGGGGCGCTTGCAGCAGGGAAAAAAAAAAGAAAAAAGAACGTGAGCCCGTGTGTGTTCGGCTCTCTTTCTTTCTCTCTCTCTCTCTCTCTGGTTTCCTCGCTCTGTCTCCACCGCTCTGTCTATCTGATTGTTCCAGCGATTCGGCCAATTCATCAATACATGATGTTTGAAACAGGCTTGGACTAATGCTACGATATCGGATGTGGGCGAAGTCATTTGTTCCCAGTTTATTTTTTTTTAAGAGAACGCTTTGAGTAGTGTGAAAACAATAACAACCGACTGACAAGAAATGTTTCAAAAATATCTCACATGTGAGAGGTTCTCTGAATGCTAAATCTCATCATTTATTGAATACATCACTCTAGATAAGCTTGTTTTCAGCGATCAATAATCTGCACTTGATGATTTTGTGAGACTTGGGACTGATATGGGATTGTTGAGGCTGATGCCAGAGCTGATTTAAGTGGGGGGGGGGGATCACTACTTTCAGATCTGGTGATTTAAATACGCTGGAATGGAAACAGGACTCACTTATTATTTTGTAGCTTTTTTTGCATTTAAAAAAATACAGCATTTACGTAGGTAGGTGTTACATATTCATTCATTTACAACCACTTCTGGGCCCACTGTTGGTTTAGCTGTGATGCTCTGCTGCATGAGCTGCACACTGTGTTGAGAGTATTGGCGTCTATGTGTTACATGCTCGGTAACAAAAGTTTTAAAATGAGAGAATATCAGAAAACGAACCCTAATACTGCTATAATGAATGTGAAAGGCCTGTTTCTGCTTACAGATAGAGCAGGTATTAACGTTTGAAACATGATCCCCATTTTCAGTCAGTTTAAGAGTCTTGTCTGATTGGTTCCGACGAGTCCAAAGCTTTTATCAAGTGAAGGATGTTGGAGGAGGACGTTTTTGCATGCAGGTGTTGAGGATGGTGCAGGAGAGCCTTCACTATGTTTCCCCCCCCAGTAGATGTTTGAGTTGAAATGTTTCCAGATATAACGATTGGTGTTATTACTCCCTTTGCTCCATATATCAGGGAACTGTCCGACCCCAACACAGAGATGAAATAATGTTGATATTGTGTTGCCAAATTTGTAGCTAGCTTGTGTATTTACATCATTTCATTTGGAGATACCATCAGGGCTGCTGGCTCTCCTTTCTACCTCTGTCTCTTCTCCATCTGAATTGTTTCTCATGCTCTTCCCCCTCTCTCTCCCTCTACATCCCTATTTGTCCCCCGCCCCCCCCCAATCCTCCCTCTTTTCCTCTCCCTATCTTATCTTCCCTTATGCCTCCCCTCCACCCCCCCTCCCCGTTCGTCTCCTCTCTTTCTCTCTCCACAGTTGTCCTAAGCTGGAGGACCTGCCGCCCGAGCAATGGAGCCACTCTACAGTAAGAAACGCCCTCAAGGAGTTACTCAAAGACATGAATCAGAGCTCTCTGGCTAAAGAATGTCCCTTATCACAGGTGCTGAAGCCCAGTCTGCTTGTTCTGAAAACAAATTGAAAAAATGAAAACGATTAGCACCCAACTCCCCCACCCCCTCCACCCCACCCTCCACCCCACCCCCCACCTCTTTTTGCTACCAAACAAATCTCCATCACCTCCGTCTTATATCCTTAACTTATCAAATGCCCTGAGTTTGATCAAGTGGGAAAGAGAATCGGCATTGAAAATCCAAATCAATAGCTATTGTCATTTCTTTGCCGCATGATTTTTGTTTTGTTTCTTTTACAGCCCAGACACACACACACACACACACACACACACACAAAACCAACACACAAACGTTGTATAGAAACGGCAGCCAAAAAGCAGAGGTGTTGTTGAACGTATGGTTATTGTTAGATAAACATTGGCCCGAGCCCAGAATGATCTGGATTGTTTTTGACTTTTTTTTTTCTCATTATAGTTAATTCTCAACATTTCATAGCATCAGGACCGGAGAGCCAAACATGTTAGGTGTTACATTCTCTGTCCTACCCCCCCCTCCCCCCCCTCCCCCACTCTGTCGGCTGGGAGGTTTGGATAGAAAGCACTAGTGCAGATATTGTATTAACAGGCGGTGTAGTCAGTATATCATGGAGGCAGCTCTGGAGTGAATGGAATGAAACGGCAGTATATCTCTCACAGGGGCCAATAATGTGTGAGTGTGAGGAAATATTGTGCGCGTGTGTATTCGCTCGAGTACGTTTGTGAAATGTATATCAAGGTGCAGGACGTACGTGTGAAAGTCTTGTTTGTGTTTTGCATCCATTGTGCTTATTTAAACCCAAACATGTGCGTAGGAGCCGTCAGTATGAAGCCAGCTCTCCTCCTAGGCCACCGTATGGTCACCTGGAGACCCTCATTTGCGTTCTAGTGTGTGAGTGTGTACGTTTGTGTGAGTGTGTACGTTTGTGTGAGGCGGCTGCTCTCAGTCTGTGTGTGTGTATGTGTGTGTTTGTGTGTTTAGCCGGGCATGAGCAGTGCGCTGATGATGTAAAGAGTCCCTGGGTGGCGTTCAGGCGGAGCCCAGCCCGGTCTGGTAATCACCCTGTTTACGGTCCATATGTGAAGACGGCTCAGAGGAGAGCACATGCGAGCTCGGAGGAGCTAACACACACACACACACACACACACACACACACACACACTGACTCTTTCTCAGGCCCACATTTGCTATTTTCACTTACACACACACACTCTCAAATTAAACTGAAGATTGTTTGAGCTTTCCAGTGAGAATGAAAGAGAGGGCTCTGAAAATATCTTGAACTGATTCTATTTCTTTCCTCGTTGTATGTTATAAACCTAAAACGTCTGAATCCTAAATCAATCAATCATGCAGAACATCTTGTAGTAAAATATATATATAATAACAATATCCCACCCAGTGTGGATTAGGAGAGTCCTTCTCTTCTCATTGTTTTGACTCTTTTTTTTTTTTGGCATTTTTGCCTTTTATTCGAGAGGAAAGCTGTAGAGAGGCAGGAAATACTGGGAGGAGAGAGTGAGGGGATGACAGGCAAACAAAGGACCGAGGTTGGATTTGAACCCACGGCTGCTGCAATGAGAACTTTACCCTCTGTACATGGGGCGCGCAACATAACCTCTAAGCTACGGCAGGTCAGAATATTATAGATTGTGAAGTATGTAGAATAACCACAGAGACATACATATTTATACATACATATACAGACATATATTTATACAGACATACATATATACATACGTATTTATTGCTGTGTCCATTTTTTAGGACAGCAACCATTGAAATACTAATCAAGTGACTATTTCAAAGCAACTTAAAGAGCTCTGATGTCCACCTGATGCCCTGTGGTCTGTTTCACAAAGGCACAGCGGTCTGTATTTGCACCGCCCGAGTTTATTTTGCTCATAGATGCTCATCAAGTCTGATTGAACTACCTCCTTATCCCTCAAGAGGTAGTCAGGCCAGACACCCGTGTTACCTCGATATCACTACTTTCCCATAAGCCCCGGTTATAAAGTTTGTTGATCTGTATCTTGCAGGTTTCATTTTCATATTCTGTATCTCTAAAAACAGTTTTAAAGTGAAACTTTTTACTTAATTTTGACTAATGTTACCTACGCAATGGAGACATATTTGACCTGATTGTTCCCGAGTTTTCCTTTGGTTGTCATTGGCCCAGATTGGCCCACATGACTCCGGCTGCAGTAGAGTTTGAGACCATCTTGATTTCACCTTCTTCATGAGTGATTAAGACGCCTCTTTTTGTTTTATCAAAATCTACGGTCAAGTGTGAAACTGGCAACTGATACCTCCATGTATCTGTCTTCTTCAAACATGGCTGCCGTGATGGTGTTTGACATCTGTTACTCTGTGGGGTTTAATGTGGCCGGCTACACCCGTAGAGCGGCAGTTTGTCCCTCCACCAAACCCAACTGGTGGAGCAGACTGGTGGTGACGTTCGAGGGCTGTCCCCACGTTGCCTCGATACTCAGACTCCCTGCCCTGTGACTGCTGATGTCACCTTCTGTGTGTCGAGAGGGTGAAAAAAAAAAAAAAAAAAACCATGAAGCGTATCGCCGAACCCTCTCAGCTTGCTCAGAGTTGACGAAAAAAAGTGGAGCGAGAGTGGGAGGGGGACGGGGCGTCGCAGGAGTCAGCAGAAGATTGGCAACCTTTTTTTTTTAAGGATTAGTGTTTTTCTTGAATTTCTGCTGCGTAATCGGCGACCGCAAAGAGAGGTTAACAGACGACAGAAGAGTGAAAGAGAATTAGCTCACCTCTGAACGGAGGCTCTGAAGAGAGACGGGGGGAGGGGAAGGGGGGTGGCAGCGCTGGGAGGGAGGGCGGCGGGGGGGGGTTATTTTGTGAAACACCGCTTTTGTCCGGGGCCTTGTCAAACATTTAGTTTCATTCTTTTGTGGCGGGGGAGTCATGCTTTTGTGTGTTGAGCCTACAAATGGCACGAGGAAACTCAAAGAGGGAAAATGAATTCGCTCATGCCCATTGTGACTCTGTCGGGGGGGGAAACTGACTCAGACCTGCGCTCATGTGAAGCTAGCTTCAACATTCACGGCTTCAAGAACATGGCCAAAATACAACTTCCTGTGATTTTGCCTCAATCAGGATATCAGGATTAATATTTTTTTTTCCTGAGGTTGCTAACAAGCTTCCCAACCCCCTTGCCCATGTTCACAGAAACTATGGCAACAAACGAGCCCCCTTACCCCCCCCCCCCCACATCACCCCAGTCTTTCCGATTGCCACCACCTCTCCTTGCCCGCCCCCTGCTCGCTCTCACTGGGCGGCCCCTGATACACCAGCTGCTGCGTTGCGTAGCAGCAGATAGTCATCAAAATGCCATCTTTGCAGGTCTTCACCACCTCTGCTGCCATAGGCCCAATGTGGCTGCCAGTTTATGTGTGTGCATCTGTGTGTGTATCCATGCCTGTGTGTGTGTTGGATGAAGAGAGGGGGGAGGAGGGGGAGGAGGAGTGGGGGGGGGTCACCCAGTTTAGGTGGGTATGTGCCATAATTGAGCTGTGTTAGATGTTGGCGAGAGAGAAGGCACAGTGTTGCAAATGGGATGCGCTTTTTCTCCCCAGCTGATTCAAGACATCAGGCTAAGTTGGAATGTGTGTGTGTGTATTTAATGTGTGTGTGTGTGTGTGTGTGTGTGTGTGTGTTTTAGGCTGCATGTGCGTGTTTGTGTACCTGCACCATGTGTGTTTGTCTGCAGGGGGTTGTAGTTTGTGTGTGTTTCTGTTTGCCAGTGTGTGCACCACACTCTTAACGCTGGCAGCTGGGTGCCTACAGTACCTGCCTGCTGCACCGTTATTTTCCTACACACACACACACACACACACACATACGCACACACACACACACATACGCATGCACACACATGCACTCTCTCTCTCTTCCTGTCTCCCATGATGGGGAGTGGAGTAGATGTTGGGGACCGATAGTAGCCCAGTGCCACTTCCTGGTCTTGCTGATAAGCTCTCTGTGCTGCAGATGGCTATCACTTAAAGGGTCCACACACACATGCTCCTACACACACACACACACACACACACACACACACACACACACACACACACACACACACCCCAAACACACAGCCATGCTACCTGTTGACAAGCTCTAGCACAGCCCTCCTGCTGGCACCGCAGTGGCAGCAGAGGCTCTGGTTATCTGCTTGATTTCACTTAGTGCGTATGCATGTGTGTGTGACAGAGCAGTGGGAGAGAGTGAAACAGAGAATAGTGTGTGTGTGTGTGTGTGTGTGTGTGTGTGTGTGTGTGTGTGTGTGTGTGTGTGTGTGTGTGTGTGTGTGTGTTGTTTCCTTCACACATACACGCAGGGCCCCCTGTGAGAGGTGGAGTGATGTATTGAGGGAGAGGGCTGATTAATGAGGAGCGTTTATTAGAACATCTGTGTCAAAGATGGCGGAGAAAGAGGGAGCAAGAGAGAGAGAGAGAGAGAGAGAGAGAGAGAGAGAGAGAGAGCACTGTCTTCTGCAGGCCTCTTGTTTGTTGCCTAGAGCAGCCTTAGCCCAGATATACTGTAAATAAAAGATGGCAGGCTGGAGGAGAGGAGTTCATTATCCCACAGACTTACAGGAGAATTCTTTCACTTCATATTTATGGTTTCCAGATGGATCTTTGTGTTGGGTGTTGGCTCCAGGAACCAGGTAAAAACTGGAATTTGTGGTTTGCTGCTCCACCACTTTCTCCATCCAAAAATATTCACATTTCTTTCCCAAAGAAGTCGCTAACAAATTGCTCCCATCCTTGAATAGCTGTAGCTTTTACTTAAAGTCACAAGGAATAAACAATACATGATCGTATTAAAAGTGGCTACAGATTGAACTTCTGTTTCTTAAAGGAAACACTTCATAAATCTAAAAGAAGGAGCTGCTTCATGCATAAATGTCTCGCCCAATAAAAGGGAAATTCTGACTTCCTAACCTAACCTGAACTCTATTAGGGTTTACATAAAATGAAGGCTTTTCAGTATTTCTACAAAAGCCTGCTTTGTTACACCATGCAAGTCCCAATTCAGACTCCTTCCCCCCACCCACCCACTTCCCCCTCTCCTCGCTATTTTTTATCATGACACGATGCACCACAGTGTGGTTGGTACAGTTTTACACCAATCTTCAGCCTCCAACGTGACTATCCCCTCACTCGCTGATATTTGACTTAACAAAAAAAAAAAAGGAGCAGCTAACTCGGTCTGACAAAAGTGCAACCATATTTGAATGTTGGTTATCGGACTCTCCGCGTATCACAAGAGTCCATGATGATTATTGTTGAGGTGTGTGGTCCTTTGTGACTTCTCCTCAAGTGTCATGGAAAGCAGCACATCAAACTTGACAGCTTCTCTGAATAATAATGCAAAAAAAAAAAGATTTGGCCTCTATCTCTGCCAGTGTCTTTGAGAACTCAAGTTCCTATCATCTTCCAGAAGTGTTTTTGTTCTGATCATGACATCTTGGTTTTCCATTAAGCTTCCAAATAAGGAAATCACCCCCCCCCCCCCCCCGCTTCTGTTTGACAGAGGAAACCTGTGTCTGTCATGCTCTTCTGTAACCTGCTTTTTAGGTGTGTCCTGGTTGAATAGTTTTGTCCAGTAGATAAAGGAGTGTACAAGATCCACCTCTCTGACAGAAAAGCTTTAATCCTGTACAGGCCAGAGTTTGACAGAGGGGTTCAACATGTTGTATTTGGTAGCTCCAAAGTTTGGTCCCTACATTCCTTTTTACTTCCCGCTAGTTGCCTTGTCTAGGTTTTGAAATTTGTTTTACACTCTGGGAAATTAACCTGAATTTATAATAATTGAAAAAGCAAACACTTCATGTAGTCGAGCAATGCCTCCTCACTCAGCATGTGTACAGTCTGTACGGAGGCCTGTGTATGATGGCCATGCTTTCTAACCATTATGATGCAGTCAGATGAAGCTAAAGCTAACTATCACCTACTCTCGTATTAATTAGTGTCAAATTAGTGGAGGAAAAAAAACAGTTTTGGGACATATTTTGGATTTAGGAGGGATATGATGCAAACACTGGTGTTCTATAAAACATGGAGAAAGGCAGATAAACATAGAAACTGAGTTAAAGCTAATTACATCTTGGCGGCTGAGTGGTTGGGACGCGCGCCCCATGTGCAGAGGCTGTGGTCCTCGGGGCTGGCCTGGGTTCGGCTTCTTTCCCACATGTCGTTCCCCTCGCTCTCTGTCCCTGATTTCTGACTCTGTCTACTGTCCTGTCTCTACAATGGAGGCATGAAAAGCCCCAAATAAGTCCTTAAAAAAAGCTAATATGCACTATTTTTTTCTGTTTTTCTTTAATCGCAATTCTGATCATTACTTGAACATTGCACATCACATATTTTTCTCATGTTATGCTGGCCTAGTTTAAAACTCTTATCAAGGCCTCCTCATCAAAAACATGGAACCAGTTGATTAAAAATCCAAAAAATAATTGTATGTAACAATCGAGATTAGTTTTGAATCGAAAATAGATTCTCAATCGAATCATGAGACACCCAAAGATTACTAGCCCTACAGTTGACAATTATTTCTGCTATCAGGCCTGGCACTAGCATTTGCATAAGCAAACTCAGTATCGTGACCTGTCAATGAAGCAACTTTTTTTGTTGCTGTTTCCGCCTCAGAAGTGAAAATATTGAAATATTCCTTATTAGGCAACTTAAGAGCTCAGCGCCAACAGCTGACCCCGACCAGTACACTCTTACTTGATGAGATGATGAGAAGGTGAAGCTGCTCTGACAGACAGAAAAATGAAAACACATTTTGATTCTTCTTATCTGTCATTTGGAAGTGTCCCAGTTAAGCAAGGTTGCCATTCTGTTTTACCATGAGGTGACATTAAAGATGAACGAAAGTAAACTAAGTCTCTGTGCTCAGTGCGTCAGAATATAAGCATCTCTCTCTGCTATCATATAGTCGAGAAAAGCTGCAGCCTAAGAACCAGAATCATCCTGAACCAGTTCATTGTGCTCACCTCACCATCCTGCTCTGCCAGAAGGTCCCCCCCCCCCCCCCCCCCTCCCCATCCTCCCAGCGCATATATTATAAAAAAAATGATAAAGATGGCATACCTGTAATTTGAAAACAGATGGTTTGGTTCTTTTGAATATTTATAACAATCAAAAACAATTTCTCCCGCACCAGCCTCCCTATTCGCCCCGAGGCCAGCAAGGTGTTAAAACATTCATTTTAATGAAACTAGAAGGAGAAAAATATCGCCTTTTTTTTTTTTTTTTCCTACAGCAAGGCAGGAAGGTTGAAGTGAACGCCGTGAGGGTAGAGAGTCGACTGTAAAAGAAACAACATGCTCAGTGCGGCCCCTCCATCCGCTTGAAGTTCTCGTCTTTAACAGATTGTATAAATAAAGAGCTGGAAAATAAAAAGAGGTTTATCTGTTTACATCGCACGACTCCCCAGATGCTGATATTCAATAAAGCGCTATCTTCTTTCTTTTCTAAATATCCTCTCTGCCGCCTGCTTTTTTTTTTTTTTTTTATGTCAACAGTCGTAGCACTCAGTTGACTTTGTGATTTACCCACTCTGAAATCCAAAAAAAAAAAAAAGTTCAGACAAACTCAACGGCATTTGATAAAAAAAAAGAACAGACGAAGCCTTATTTGATTTAATTTGTTCACCTTTAAGGAGAGGAAATCTAAAAAAATATCTGCATGTCTGATCCCTTTATTCTTAGTGCAGGGTTTCACCGTGTCCCTATCTTTGATTTGTTTTGACAAGCTACAGTGTTACTGCATGTTTCACAAGCTTTAATATTATGTCTGTATATTTTTTCCACAATGAGAATCTAAAGTCTCTCTCCCGTCCTCTCTCCCTCTCAATCAATCTCTCTCTTTCAGAGTATGATTTCCTCCATTGTGAACAGCACTTACTATGCAAATGTGTCGGCGGCGAAGTGTCAGGAATTTGGGCGCTGGTATAAACATTTCAAGAAGACAAAAGATATGATGGGTAAGCAAAACGGAGGGGCGCAAAGTATGGCGCTCACACTTTTGTCTCTTTCCACACACACACATTCACACACACACATTCACACACACACACACATTCACACACACATACTAGTCTCCACCACAATATGTTCTCTAACCAACCGTCTCTTTGTCTTCCTGCCCTTGCATGCAGCAGAAATACATTTTTATCTTGTTATCTAATAACTCAAGATGACTCCAGTCAGTTCTGCAGAACACAGCGTTATCTTTGATTTATCCACTAGTGCTCTCACTCAAACTCAGCCAGAGCACCAATAGAGGCTCTGATTTGGTTTTTATTTTTGTTTGTGAACTTCAGGGCTCCTCGAACAAAAGGCTTGCGACGACTTCAACCGAGCCACCGCCTAGTCTGGAATTCAATTAGATTTTCTTATCAACCCTCTAACAACGCATGCTTTATATTATCTCCTAAAATAAAAAAATCCCCCTTTGACCCACCAGGAAATGAGGTTATATGATACCAGTATCACCCCAGCTGCAGAGAGAATTCCGCTATATATCTTTTTATGTCTTTTGATTAAGCACAACACCACTCTGTTGCAGGGCTCGTAAGGCGGTGTAATGTTGAGATATTAGCTTTAACAATCTGTCCAACAATCTTTTCTCTGTTGCCAGCGCGCAACCGCTCGCAGTGATGACAGATGAGATATTATATCAAAATGTTTTCACAGCCTCCATGCAAATAGCGTGTTGTGATCATATCTTATCTGCTACTTTTTCTCTCTCTCTCTCTTCTGGTAAAGTGTTAAAGTGTCTGCTAACATACGCCGGGAACATTACTTACTCCAGACCTGCTGTACTTGTGTATTATCCTGCACACTCCTACACATTTTCTGTCATAATTGTTTTCGATCTGGCTTTATTTTCCTCCAAAATGGGGCTGCTGCAGCTGCCAGCATGGGCCTCAGTGATGCTAGTGCTTTAAATGTCATATTTCTGCTTAGCTGCAGTGGGAGAGGAGGACTGTGCAAAGCCTTTAACCCTGTGTTTCTTTCTTCACTACTCCACATGGTGTGTGCGTGTGTGTGTGTGTGTGTGTGTGTGTGTGTGTGTGTGTGCTCTGCCATCCGACTGTGCAGGCATGCGCCAACCCTCCCAGCTGGAGGGCTACCTGGGGACATGTGTCCTCCGTGAGAGCCCCCGTGCCAATGCACTAGGTACGTTGCAACATGGGCTCACACTCAAACACACCTTTGATTCATTTTTCACTCTGAGGGGTATTACAGTGACAAATAAACTGGTGAGAGAGTGACCAAAAGTGTCATTTCTAAGAGGTGGCCAGGGGTCTCTCATTCAGAATAAACAAAAACAAAACACATAGTTATCATTCTCACCCAAAAATAAGTTTTATCTGTGTAACCTTAAGTCATGTTCTTTTGCATTACAGCAAAAAAAAAAAAAAAGTCTCATGAAATAGTTGCAAAGGAGATTACTACACTGCATATTGTATCTTCATACTGAAAGTGCAGTGTCTGTGATTCCTAAAGGTATCCAAATGGAGGCTTACCTGTCCTTTGGAAACCGTCAAGATTGTGTGTCTTGCTGTTTTTCATTCTATCCCCCTCCTCATCTCGACACCTCAAGGTCACACCCTCAATATAATGTTCTCCATGAGATAGAGCGGATAGAAATGCTTTATGTTTCTTTTGCCTTTAAAGAAACGTAAGCCGCAAAAGTGTCCACTCGGAACTGTTTTTTTTTTTTTTCTCCTTTCTCTGTGGGTGCAGCAAACCCTGATAAGAACAAAACCACCAGTGTACATCCACTGCAGCCGTGATAACATCTCGAGATGTGCTTGCACACAAACTCTAGCCCTGAATGTGTCATGTTAACCAAACCTCAGACGCAAAAAAAACTCTGACACACGGGCCTCAGGTGCCCATCGCCCACCCGCCCGCATAAACTCCCCAAACCTCAATATTCATGATGTGCTCGGTGTCTGCTGAGTTGGACACAGAAGTTTTGAAGGGTGGAAGCGAGTGTGGCACGGTCACCATGTGTGCTTTGGCAGCGGCGCTAAAAATGTGACTCTGCATTTACTTGAGCACACGGCTTACAAGCCTGAAGTCAAGAGGGGAACAAGTACCTGGTCACAGGTACTGGCGAGCTACCGCTCTGCTCTGCCAGCTGAAGTGGAGTTAGCGGCTGACGGCTAATGTGGTGTCTCCTCTTTTTGAGGTGGCAGCGTTAGAGCAGGAAAGCCAACATGGGAGAGAGAGTTGGGTCACTTTGTATCTCTCCCTCTCTCTCCCTCTCTCCCTCTCTCTCTCTCTCTCTCAGTCACACACACTCCCTCCCTCCCTCAGCCCACATCCCATTCCCATTGTGTGTTTAATCCGGGGCTCTTTTGTGGCAGGATTCCACACGAGGACTCCCGCTTCTGTGGCAGCCTTTTTCTCCCAGGGCCTGCCATGCTCTTCTGTCACCCCTTCTCTTTTCAATTTGCATGGAAATGCCTCCGTGTGCCTGTGTGTTTGTGTGTTGTGAGCATGCCCCCCAGCAGTCTGTGCGAGCGAGCATATGCACACACACACACACACACACACACACACACACACACACACACACACACACACACACACACATTCACATATGAGTGAATAGGCACGCCATACCATCAGAGCCAGGGAATGCCAGGGATTATGGGAAGAGATGTGATTATTACCAAGATTTTTTTTTTGTTTTGTCCCCCCCCCCCCCCCACATCATTTGTTTTCCACAAACGCTCAATAGACCCTTCTTGGCCGGGTGTTTTGTGCTTGCTGACAGTTAAGAAACAGGCAGCTCAAAAACATGATTATTGTGGGTATTTTTGGAAAACATCCATGCACTTAATCTTTCATCTGCTGAAAAATTCAGCTTGTTGAAGAAGACCCTCACCCCCCCCCTCTTCCCCGTAACAGCAATTTACTCTTTTCACAATCTCTTTCCGTGGGATGTGGAGGCCGCAGCACACTTCTAAGGTGTTAATGTTGCCATCCGCATGAATTCTTAAATGCTGCCCCCTCACTCGCTCGCTCGCTCGGCATCATGCGTGCAAAAAGCCCCAGCATATGTGATATTCCTTAAAGAGAGGCAGAAACCTGAAAACATTCAGCTGCTCCGAATGCTCGTTCACTTCTCTGTGGGTAGCACTTTGAATGTTAAATCATTGTTTTCACCCACTAAGCACATCATTTAAACCTGCCTTAAAATATTCCCGAGCAGCCATTATGGACTTAAAGATTCCCAAAGCTGGAGATGCTGCGAAATTCTTGAAAAATGCGATCAAATGATGCCACGTATACCATTTTTAAAAATCTTACAGACAGATCAAATCATCTTAACACGGGCGTTTCTTAAGTCACAAAATATCTCCTCCAATTGACTGTCACCGTTCACTGCCCCCTTCATTTATAATAAGACCACCCTGCACTGTAAGTGCAGTAATGGCGAGCTTGTGTTCCTTATTTCAGAATTAAGGATGTAAAGAGAGATTTGGAGCTCTTGCTTTTGTGGACACACACACACACAAACACACACATTTTTCTTGTACCTACTCTCACACACACTCACACTCACACACTCACACACACTCTTCTGTCTCTCAGGGATTTAGTTTTCACATGATGAGCCCACAGACGGTCTGAACTTAATTTTGAAGGCATGGCTTGTGGAAGACACAGGTCAAACACAATGAAGCTCTTTTATCTGCCTTTCCATCTTCTTTTTTTTCAACCAGTCATTGGCTGATCAGCTGTTTCGTATCCAATAAGAGAGGAAGAGGCTTGTGGGGGGAGAGACACTGAACTTCTATTTTCCTTTTTCTGTTGGGGGTTTAGGTTTTGGCTAATCCTCTTCCCTTACCATGTGTCACTAATGCACAGTGAAATGTTTGCTGACAGTGTAAATTTCACTCAAGGCAAAAGTTAGATCTCATGCAGAGAGGCTCTGTTTTATTTCCTCTGATAAGAGATCAGAACATTGATGACATTAAACTGATGTTTTTTGATCTTAAGATTAAGTTTAACTTGTGTTTTTGTCCTCTCTTGTGTATTTGAGCTGATTACTGACCCTGCCTTTCCTCCCTCTCTCTGTCGGCTTTGTGACCCCTCCTGCAGCAGAGATGGACGGCCTGTCTGACCTCTCTCCACCCGGCTCCAACCATAACCATAACCACAACCACAACCACAACCACCTGGGCTTCTCCCAGCAGCAGCAGCCTATCCCCGGCAGCACAGCAGAGCAGACCCCTTCCTCGCCTGTACCCCCGCTGTCTCACGCCCCTCCACCGCATGGAGGCCAGACCGGCGGGCGGCAGCCCCAGCTTCCTGGTCTGCACCACCCAGGCCTGGTGTCCACCCCCATCAGCCCCCAGCTGGTCAACCAGCAGCTCGTGATGGCACAGATCCTCAACCAGCAGTACGCTGTGAACCGGCTGCTGGCGCAGCAGTCCCTGTCGCAGCAGTACCTCAACCACCCACCTGTCAGCCGCAACTCCCACACCAAACCCATGGAGCCACAGGTGGCGTCCAACAGTGAGGTGTCCGTTGAGATCTACCAGTGGGTGAGGGACGAGCTGAAACGGGCCGGAATCTCACAGGCAGTCTTCGCTCGCGTGGCCTTCAACAGAACCCAGGTGAGGAGGGGAGACGGGTGGGTAAGAGTGTGGGCGACTTTTCTTATTCAAAGCGTCCACAAAGACAACGCGGCAAAAGGAATAGTTGACACCTCATTTAGATTTTTTCAAATTTGACACAGGCTTAAAGTGAGTAATAGTAATGAAGGACTGTGGAGTCCATTTTTTTTTTTTTGATTTAGAGATCTATTGAACTGAATCTTGAAATACGTATATTTAAAGACGACAATTTTATCGAGCTATCATCAACACCTACCATCAGCATCACCATGACTAAATAATACCTTTTCTCTGGCCCTACATCAGGACTTTACAAACTTCCAAATCAATCAATCAATCAATCGATCAATCAATCTTTGTGGAGTAAGCAGAGTGACCCAAACATTCATAATTATTGTAATAATAATAATAATAATAATAATAATCAATAAACTGTGATTCTAAGCAGGTTATTCAGTGTGCAGGAATTTCTTCTTTTTTTTAGACAGTACTTTTGCAGTAACATTTTCAAACAAATCTGCAGATGACGGTAAATATCTTCTTTTGGAGCTTCTTCTTTTGGAGAAGACGTGAGAATCACGAAAACGACTTGGACCACATTCAGTATTTGCTCAATCACCTACGACGGCTGATTAAAGAATTTCTGTTTAGTTTTGAAATGTAATATCACGTTTTATCGTTATTTTTTTTTACCATCCAGTCTGACTCATACTCACAATCTCATAAATCTTATTGATGACAAACAATACTTTTCAAAAGGAGCGCTTCAAGTCACGGCACATCTTTCCACTAAACTTATGGACTGTGACAAATGTCAAAATGTCCTCTTACATGTTTTTCAACAATCCTAATTTTAAAATTCAAACTGCAAAATTCAAACTACAAAATCCCTTCCCTTCCCTTTGAACAGAAACATCGAGTTTAAAAAAAGAGGAAAAACATCACATTAAGGAAAGTTATTTATGAGAGTTATTTTGTTAATAAAACACACACACACACACACACAGAGGCCTGGTGTGTTTGTATCGGCAGCTTTTTCCTCATTCATAATTCTCACTCCAGTAACACCTCTCTACTATACTTCAAGACAGCTGGCGGCCCGCCAAGCCAGAGACCCGGCCTCGGTCATTGCGTGCGTTCTCTCGCCCTGCCAAAATATGTGGTTTCACTTCATAGTCAGAGGCCTTTCACACATACGCACACACACACACACACAGAAGGCAGTGATGACGCTTTAAGACAAACCGTCTGTATTAAAGTGGGCAGAAGGAGGTGACTGCGAACCTCATTATGACTCCATTTGCTTTGAAGTTTCTGTGTATGAAAAAAAAAAACAGAATCTGATATGGATCTATTTGACTTAGAACATACAACAACCCCCCCCCCTTCCTCCTCCGCCCAAATAATAAATGTGTGTGTGCCTGTGTTGGAGTGAGACAGTGGTGTTTTGTGCAGATTGGCGAGCTCCCCACACAAACAGAGTCTTATCTACGGCTGATATGAGGAATTAGCTCAATGTGCCGTTGGAGAGTTTCCCTTTGGAGGATTATTTATTAGACGTGCGGTTCCTCCACGAGTCTGTGTTAATAACAAGAGAGCAGAGCAGGGAAAGAGAGGATGTTGAGGAGTGACATGAAGGGCTTGTGTCTATGCAGCAGGATCTTTTTTTTTTTTTTTTTTTTTAAGAGGAAACCGATCGACCAGAGAGATAAACACTAAGGTCTGATGGCAACGACTGATGATGCACACACTGAAGAATGCAGACACCGACAGGCAGACAGTGAAAACATAAATGCCACTAATCTAGCCTCTGAATACTTGTGTGTATTAAGCGCAGTCCCCCCTTCACCATAAAAACCACTCACTCTGACTCAGATTTCACTTGTTCACACTCGCCCGGAAACCGCAAACATACCTTTTAAAACATGACACATATGGCCGTGTACATTTTAATAGTCGAGCAGTCGACGCCAGGCAAATATTTGCAAGAGCACCATCCTCTAAAGAAAAAAAAAACGAAGAAAAAAAAGGGAATAAATCAAAGTAATAGCACAAGCATGTCTTCCCCATCACCTAGTTTTATTACCAAATCACACCAATTGATGGGGAGAGAAGCGAGGCGATGGTTTGCACAGTGTGTGGCCAAGAGCTGATGAAAAGGCCCAATCACACGTCTCAGATAATGGAGTCATCGCCGTCTCATAATGATGGAATTGAGCGCTATTGAAAGTAAACAGAGGATACACTGATTGCCCGCCGTGGAAGATTTTTCATATTTCAGGCAGAGTAGCTTTGAGGCTGTTATCCAAAGCAACATATGGCTCTTAGAAAATGTCCAAGATCTGCAGACTGACACGCTACAAAGTGTTGCAAAGTCAGAGGCACGCAGTAAAGCAGTGTGGACTGTGGTGTTGTTCTCCCTTCCTGTTCCTCTTTCTTACTCTCTTTTGGTTTGTTCTTCTCTTCCTCCCGCTCCGTCTGTCAGGGCTTACTGTCCGAGATTCTACGCAAAGAGGAAGACCCTAAGACAGCATCCCAGTCTCTGCTGGTCAACCTGCGGGCCATGCAGAACTTCCTGCAGCTGCCGGAGGCCGAGCGTGATCGCATCTACCAGGACGAGAGGGAGCGCAGTCTGACGGCGGCCTCGGCAATGGGCGCCGCTCCTCTCATCAGCACTCCGCCCAGCCGACCTGTTCAGGTACCAGACATTTAGTTCACCCTTTGGCATGCTGTCAGGTTGTGTCTTCTCATTTTATGACCAGATATCTTGATGCCTGACTGGTAGATTGGAGCTTTACAAACATTGTATGGAGACAGAGCTGCTGTAGAGACAGAAACATGTTTTATAAATTGTTGGTAATGAAAGTTAATTCACAAAGATGTTCACAGTAGTCACAGGTCAGGACAGATGTGTACTCAAAAGCTCTATTCACCTGTGCTCAAATCTCCTGAAATATCCAGTTTGAGCTGCATGTGTGAACACATTTTGCCGAATTTTTCACTCCTACTTAACCCCCGAATTTGTCCTGCCTTTCCCCTTGTAAGATTCACACATCGAGTTGGACTCCAACCTCACATAGCATTGTCACCATAGCGTGAGACTCTGTTCCTTCGTCCGCCCTTTCTGCGTCATTCTCTTTACATAATGTCCTGCCTCTTGGGACCCCCCCCTTCTGTCTGTCTGTAGGGGCAAAGATTTCAGGGGCAGCCTACCTGACAGTTTCAGGAGTGCACATGTGAAAACGGCTAATGATGTCTGGTGATGCTGCTGTAGATGTCAGAAGTAAAACGTCTGATTTGTAGAGTGATTAAAGAATGTCTGCACACTTCATGCGTCACATGAGCATTCCAGTTAGCCAACGAGCTAACCTGAGCTAGGACAAATGTTTTTTTGTCTGTTCCGCCCTAGTGGTATTCCTGACATAAATTCACCCTCTAGAGCAGCTGTGACTCAGAGATATTTGTTTCAGTAGTAAGAATAGATGAGAGGTGGCTTAGTGGTTGGTTTCACGCGGTCCATGTGCGGTCCTCGTGAAGGGACGGCCCGGGTTTGGGTCCAGCCTGTGGTTCTTTTCCTGTGTGTCGTTCCCCACTTCCTGTTTCTCTTTGATTTCCAGCTCATTCCACTGTCCTGTGTAACAAGTGAGGGCGTACAAAGCACCCCCAGTTGTTTGGTCGGCTATTCATAGATGTTGTTGTTGTTGTTGTTGTTGTTGTTGTTGTTGTTTTGTGCATGTTTGAGGTATGCAGGTGTGGGAGCAGGTTGGAGTGTTTTCATGAGCTGGAATCTTTTGGACCGACTTTGTGCTGTTGTCATGGACACAACGGTGGCTTCAGAAAGCTTTTTTTTTTTAAAAGTCACTCTTGGGTTAATAAACTCTTTTAAAATGTACACTCTTGGTTTTGTAGACTTACCAACACATGCAGAGTTAATGTGTCTCGCACTCAAGTGAACAACGAGTGTGTTTACATGTGACGACAGCGGTCGGCACACAAGCGCCGCCCTCACACATTGTTCAGTTTCACTCCTCACATTCCCCTCCATTGACTCAACCTGTCGACAACCTGCAGGAAACACGAGGAACAAATAAAAGGCCCATTTGTTCAGTCAGCATGCTCAGCGGAAGAAATGCTTTACATTCTCCCTGCATGTAAATCAGGTCTACATCATTCCCCTCCCCCACCACACCACACCGCACCACACAGGTGGGGAATAGTGCACAAGTGAGGGATCATTTTTTGTGTTAATTTTGACCTTTTACTGTGCATTAGGCAGCATTAACAGCCCTCCACTTTACAAAAAAAAAAAATAAGGCTCACTCAGTGATGACAAGCTCAGTGAAAGATCAAACATCTTTGAGTCTGTCCCCTTTAAAAATCTCTGTGCACGACCGCACAACTTTCCACCCTCACAGCAAATCAGTGCCTCTCATCTGAAAGGTATGTGGCAACTTTCTACCACTTAAGCCCATTTGAAGTGCGGTCAGCTGCATCTGGGAGGTGAGAGGCGGCGCACAAAGCCTCCTCTGTCCTGTCCTCGGTGACGATTTGGCTTTTATTTAGGTGAGGAAGAAAGACAGAAGGAACAGGCCCACCCATCTCCAGCATGAAGCCTCCTCCTGGGATTAATCAGCAGGATGGGCCTGTCTTTTCAAAAAGGGGGAAAAGAAAGAGTTTCTTTTCTGAAGCAGCCGTGCTGCAGGACCACTTTGCAGTTGACAGCTCATCTTTACAATGAGAGGCTGTGTCAACTCTCAACAGGGACTCCCACTTACAAAGTGTACTTTCACACAAAGTAAACATTTGTCTTGTTAAAAAAAAAAATTCTTTTATTTTTTATTTAAAAAACCCCCAGAAGCAGCAACTCCTAAGTTTTGAGTTTTTTTTAGTAATCACATCAGGTGTAGAACAGATCACAGATGTACTCACAGACTGGATGTGTGGACGGCCTTTTAGCCTATCAGAGAGCAGCTTACAGAGCTGTGGAGATTGATAACGGAGCAGGGATGCATCTGCAAGCTGAACAGTAAACACAATGACTTCTCCACTGCGTTTCAATCTGTAAAGATTTCAAAACACGGCCAGGAAGTGAACACCTCCTGTTTGTGTTTTTTATCTGCACATCCCTCACAATGCTGTTGGCACATCAGTAGAATATATAGACGCCTAACACACTTCACCTGTGTGACTTAAGCCCATTGACATTTATCATACAGCCCTGTTGCTACACAAGGCACTTCTCTCACGCACAAACACACACATTTGCACACTCGTACACCTGGCCATCTGCCAGCCTCTCCTATGGAGCAATGCGGTGTGAATTTAAGCACATAAATCAGCCGGGGTGGCAATTGAGCCAGAGACAGAGGAGGCTTTTTTTATTGGCCTCGTAAAAACAGATGCAGAGGTATGTTTCTCGCACGTGCGTCTGATGAGGTCGGCTTCGACTCCTCCGAAGCCAGTTAGTGCACGTCCCAGCCTTAACAATTAGCCTGACGTGCTAACCTACCGCTCAGACTGACAAGCCCATGTCGAGCTGTTGAAAAAAAAAAAAAAAAAAAAAGACAGGAAAGAGCCGACATTCCAGTTTGACCACAAATGTAAGGATTGTTTTGAACATGTGAAGGAGTTTATATGAAGTGTCTAGACCAAAACTAGAATGTATATTTTTTATAAGCACCGGTTGTATCGTGGGTTAGTAGCTGTTGGGGTTATTATGGTTTATTTTATTGCTGTGTGCTTGTACTCATACCCAGCCCTCTCCTTTCAAAGGGCGCGTATGTATGATTCATATGCTAATTGCTCTTTTGGTTGTGCTTTTATTAGGATACTTGTTACTTTGTCAAAGGATTTTTTTTTGTCAAGATGCAACAAGCCGCTAAATGAAGATGATTTGATTTCACTCGACTTGCATTTATTTTTTAATCACCAGCTTGACACGAGAAGAATAACCTTTCATAGAACACATCTAAGTGTTTTTGAGCGGTGGTAACGTGAGAGAGACGGGTGACTGGCTGAGTGGTTACCCGGATTACTTTTTATTTATTTTTTTTACGACTGTGCAGCCTGAACAAGTGTGGTTGTGTTGTGTTCCCCCCTGCCTCTGCAGCCTCGGAGGGAAGACTGCAACAGCGTGAGGCCCGAGGACTGGAATCCACGGATCCCTGTGGGCATTTCTCCTGTGAGTGTAAACAAAGAGCATCCTCACCTCAACTCTCCAACACCAATCTGAAAGCACACATTTTAATGGACAGCACACACACACACACACACACACACACACACACACACACACACACACACACACACACACACACAGGAGCTTATCGTCTTCCACTAATGTTAGTCGAGCATTTTCATGTTTGGGAAGCAGGACATTTAAATCTGAGCAGCCTGTGAATTTATCCTTCAAGTCTAAGGCTGGTGTTTGCATTTTTTTTTATCAGAGTGTGAAGAAAAGATGTTTTTTTTCAGTATTTAAAGAACGCCAATTTACAGTTTATCAAGAGGGAAGAAGAGCCTTTGAGCGTGTGTTGAAGCAATTTTTTTGTACAGATCACAGATATACAGTCTTAGCTGTATAATCAAATCTCCCTACTGGACCTACTCAGTCCACGCACACAAGCAGAATTCAGAGTATTTAAGGTTTAATTTGAAAATACGTTCAGATTGTTTTGTGCAGGAATGTTTTAATTTCCTTCCTCTTTTCACGTTCTTCAATCAAGGTGAAACCGCAGCCTCTGCCCAGCGAATGGAACGGCAAGACAGAGAGCTGCATCCTCAACATCAACTCCACCATCTACGACGAGATCCAGCAGGAGATGAAGAGGGCCAAAGTTTCCCAGGCGCTGTTTGCAAAGGTTGCCGCCTCAAAGAGCCAGGTATTAAAACACACACACACACACACACACACACGACAGGAGACACACACAAAAAGAGTCCTAATCCTGATTCAGTATCCAAAATCTGGTGCGCAAAATCTCTTTCTTGTCGAAGAAAGATTTCACTCTCTTGCACCGCTTCTGGTTCAGAAGCAGTAAATGCAGTTCATCGTTTCAAAAGATTTGTTTTGTAAAGTTGTTCCTGCAGCAGTTTGAAGTGTGCCATGAATCCAAAACTGAAATTCTAAAAATGCAGAAATACTCGCTCGACGTCTCCAAACACAGGCTCACTAATGGCAAGTAATGAGACCCCCTTCAGTCCGGTTCATGTCCAATAAAGCAGATCTTTGACCCGAGAAGCATCTGGTGCTCTTGAACTCTTAACACATGAGGAGTAAAGGGTTTTCACCACTAGATAAAGTTCACAAAGTATTCATTCAGTGAAAGGTATGGAGGTAGAAATCCTCTCACCGGGGTTGCAAAACTTGCCTCGGAGCAATCGCTGCGATGATTTATCACCATAATGACACATCCTCTTTATTGTGGGTTTGGATTTGAGCAGTCGACACTGTTTCGACACCAAACAAACCTGTTTATATTAGCTCTGCTCGGTAAGACGATGGGGCCCCTGTTATCTTCTCCCAGAGAGCAGGGCGCTCACACAATGCCAGCCTGTGTGTGGTGGAAACAGCCCCAGTTTAACTCTTTATTAAAAGTCATTTGAAAAATGGAGCACTAAGGAGTTATTATTAAAGGTTTTCCAGCGTCTGTCGGAGGCAGAGTTGGGAAAATTTCCACAATTGTGCTTGATGAGGAAGATGGGGGGGGGGGGAAATAGATCACCAAGGGCGGAATAATCTGGAAATATCTGCAAAGGCTTTATTTTTTTCTTGCTGATTAGGATGATTATACCCCCAGATAGCTTTGTTTTACCAAATTGCAGTTTGATGCACAAACCACTGTTTTTGTTAAGGAGTTCAAAGACTCCTTGGAAGGATGGAGAAAGAGAAAGGGGGGAGAGCGCGTCTTTTTCTGCTCGGATTGAAGGTTTGTCTGGGAACAGGGTTGCCTTTTCCACTTTACACCCATCGTTGTGTCTTGCCCCCTCTACCTCTCCCGTTTCTCCCCCGATTTCTGCCTCTCTTTCACGTTCCATTCATGGCAGGCGGGTGTGAATGTGAATTGAACAGCAGATAAGAAGTGTGCTAATTATGCCTGTGAAAGGGGGCCTGGGAGAGCACTTATCTCTGGCTCCATCTCGTAATGGGCGCTCCCCGGGCAGCTGGTCTCCCCCCTTTGCTACCCAGCCGGCATCACCAAAGCTACCAGCCCCGCCAGGCCGGGCTCGTTCCTCCCCATCAGGACCCCTGAACCCCTAAAATCAGAGACAGGCCCCCATGCTTTAAAAAAAGATATATTTTAAAACCGCAGCATTCGACTCATCCTCATCCTTTTTTTGTAAGATCTCATAGTTTTACCTGAGATTTTAGTTTTGAGCTAACAATGCTACAGTTTTAGTTTCTGAATTGTCTTGCCAGAATCAACTCAGTCGAACAACATGGCTGGAAATATCAAATGTTTTTATTTTTGTCATACTATAGAAGAAGGGCCCTGACAATTCCCAGTCAAATAATCCATTCCATCGTCATGAATATTCCTTCATCTTCTTTATTAGAAGTCTTTTTGTGAGATTTCTTTGTTTTTCATTTGTAGTTTAAATTCATCTTAAATAATCATGAATTAAGATTGGGTAAAATGTTCTGTGAGATCACAGAGGGGACGGTTGCCCCGGCCAACACAGCTGTGTTCACCTCCCACATTACATTACTAAGACTGTCATAAAGTACATCAGACTTTAAGAAACTAACACAGAATAAATAAACAATTTATAAAATACAATGGCAGGATTTTGTCTTTAGATTAAGGTGAGGTTGAGCTGGTTTTATGGCGCCTGGTATCAGACGTCACTTGTTAAAAACAGACGGTCAAATATATTTTAATAAAATTTAATTCCAGGTTTTTTTCCTCATTTCTTCTTTTTCCAAATTTGTTCCGCAGCCAGACATAAAGAAACATTTACTTCATGTAACCAGAACATTTTTATCTGGAGAGGACATTTTCTCTAGGGTACCGTGTGTTGAGTGTGCTCATTGTTAATTGTTAAAGAGCTGGCTATAGGTTGAATCAGTCAGCCAGGAAGAACAGCAAAATGTATATTTAAACGTTGTGTTGTAAGCGACAGCTGAAACCCGGAGAGGTTTTCAGCCTTACTGGAAGAAAATAACCCCCTACCCAAGCCTCGGGTAGAGCGCCATGCCAGCAGAGACTGGAGGTAGGGAGAGCAGTGTGGATGTGGATGGTGATGAGGATGGAGGATGGGCAGGACTGGCAGGATGCCCATATGGGGTCCAGGGAAATAATCGTAGGGGGAGGGTGGAGGAGAGGCCTCATCACCAGAGGCTGGCACTGACGGTCCTGTCAGCTCGGTGTGCTGTTCAACTTCTGCCTCTTTAGCTCTGTTAAGGATTTCCCAGCATGCTTACACAAGCGCAGGGTCAGGAGAGCGTTTGGTGTTAATGTGTGCTCTGTAGTGGTTCCTGTTTATTTGTGTACAGTGCGTTTGGCTGATTCACATTGCGATAACGTTTAAAAAAAAAAAAAAAGAGGGAAGGGGATTAGCCGAGGAGACGTGAAAGGAGAAAACAAGAGATGTGGAGTCGACTGAGGTCAAAGGCGGTGATTGTCCTCTGGGTGAGGGGAAGCGGTAAACAGGAGTTTAGCGATTGGTTCATGCTCCACTGAGTGTGTGTATACTGTATAGAGATGTGTGTTAGCTTCTCTGTGCATCAAACTGGGTTTTCTGCTCTGGCACATTTGAATGTGTGGTGTTTGGGGGGGTTTTCCTGGAACGCAGCCATCCTGTCCTCTCTTAGGGCTCGTAACCACAGCAGGCCTCTGCCACCCCTTAACTGCCCCCCCCCCCCTCCCCCCCCTCTCACATACTCAATGTTGCATTTCAATCACTCTTTTACTGCCATATATTCAGAGTAGTAACTCTAGAGCAGTGAATCTTACCAAAGCAATATGACTTCATCAGATAAAAGGTCTCTATTCACTTTGAGTATTTTCTCAGTGATCAATAATGCACTTCTTATTTTTAAGGTCAGTTTCTCTGAATACAGATATTATTCTCAGTCCATTCCTTCATAATTCAAGCCGATCAATTGCCCCGAGACTGTTCCATCTCCGATTTAGCTTGAGGTGACGTCAGACTCTGAGAAAAACATCTGCGCACAACTGGTTCCGATCCAGCGATGACACTGCCAGGAGCAGCTTCATCCACCAAACAGCCTCCTTTTTTTTTTTTATTTCAGCTTGCAGAGGTGTGAGCTATGTTATGGATAGCCTGGAGTTGATGTCAACATTATTATCCGGCTCAGTTGGGGCTAGAGCGCTCTCTAGCAATCGACTGTGCTTTGTTTTCATTCACGCTAACAGGGGAGGCTTGCTGTGTTGGCTAGCCTGGCAGAGAGGGCGGCTCATGTTCAGTTGAGCGATGGGAGGTTAGCCGAGGGGGGTGGGGGTGGGGGGGTAGGGTGGGAGAGGGTTGGGGGCATTCCTTTGACACGACTTTTATGTCCGAACATCCCCGACACTTCCTGAGAGGAAACGCGTAGACGGGTTGGAATCAGAGTCCCTGCTGTCATAAAACAAGCACCCCGGGAGCCGTGCGCACCGCAGGGCTCAAAGCCCTCCGACTCCTCAATGACCAGAAGAGTACAGAACTCCAGCACCGCCACCAACACCGCCCTCGCTCCCCATCTCTCTCTCGCTCGCTCACTCTCCCCTGGAAGAGGCTACGCTAATTAGCCAGGCTCTAATGAGACAGAATGGCACTGATCTGGTCCGCCGCTGCGCCACCGGGGGGGCCAGGCAGAGGAAGGGGGGGGGGGGGGCTGGTGCAGTAGGGGGGAGAGGGGAGAGCGAGAGAAGGGGGGGGGAGGAGGTTGGTGTATGCCATCTGTCACCCTGCACCCGCCTGGCACAGCGGTCCCTGGAGTGGAGGGTGAGGGGAAAGGGGGGGGTGAGTGCAGTGTTGGTCTGGAGAGGTGGGGGAATGGGTGGAGGTGGGTGGGGACGCTGATAGGAGTAGGAAGGGAGGGTGACAGAGAGACTGGAATAGCTGCTTCCTTCATGTTTTGTAAATGAGTATTTCCTGTGAGGGGCTGAATCTGCCCGGTGGTCCAACATGGCCGGTGGTGCTTTGAATGATTTACTTGATTTTTTTTTTTTTATTTTTTAAATCTCTGATATTTGGCAAATGACCAACCCACCCACACACACGCACACGCACGCACACACACACACACACACTCACACACTCACACCACTTGTATCATTCTGCTCTATCCAATGGCTGCGGAACAAGAGGGGCAGATGGCTGACCTTTCGGTGTCTGTTTCTAGATTGTGACCGTTCAGAGGTTTGTCTGTTACTGAGATGCCACTTGGGGTCAGCGTGTTGGTTGCCATGTTTTGCATGAAGAGTTGAGTAATGGTATTAAATGACATCCAAGGAAGGGAATGTACATGATCAGATTCATTTTTAATATAAATACTAAGAGCTGTTTGTCGCTGCAGCAAAGTGCACCTTTCACAAGTTTTACATTCTTGGCAGGGTCAAGATGTCTTCTTTTTCTCTTTTTCTTTTTTTTTTCCACTCGGAGCTCTCCACTAATCCCTTTCACTCAAATTAGGCAGATCAGAACAAGTTTGTCTCAGCCTCTTGGGATCTCAGAGGGCCGTGACTGTTTATTAATTGATTTATTTATTTATCTCCAGTGCCTGCTTGGTTATTAGGTTGCCATGGGAAACAGGCAAGGCCAGATCCTCTCTATTATTAAAGACACAATTTCTTGAACTGGAGACCCAGCTGTCTGAATAATTAATTTAGCGAATGAATTATCTTGCAAACGGTAAGTCTTCCCGCCCTCTGAAATG